CCTATATAAAAGATCTCAAAAGTTGATCTTTCTTCATTTTTTGTTTATTTCTTTAATTCTGCTTCAATTAGTTAAAGAGTCACTTCAGTCATCAATGGATTAGGTCTACAGAGGATACCACGTAAAAAAAAACGCGTTAACAATAGTATCTCACGGGTGACGTGGAAAGCTATTGTAAATAACACATATGTTTACGCTCCTGAGCCTCGAGCGACTCGTTGGCTGCGCGCGGGACGGCGAGATAAGGGGAAGGCGTTAGGCGGAGCCAGCTGAAAATCGGCCGAAAATTGCATTTTTTACCGAGCTCGATTCTATAAGACTTATAGAATAATATTCGAAATATTCTTGAAGATTTTTCATAGAACGTTCATAGAAATGTTTAGTGCTATCTGGGTAAGACATATCATTGGTGTTCGGACGTAAAATGGATGCAACAATGGTATATGGAAATCTAATACCCATTTCTACCAGTGCTGGTTAATTTTAATTCAGTTTAACTTACTTTTTATTTTTTTCTAACATATATACATATGCCCATTTTCACCAGTGCAGATTTAACTTTAATCTCGGTTTAACTTATTTTCTTTTTCTAACTTTTGAAACTAAAAAAGATAAAAAATAATCTTGGTGGAAAAATTTTTATTTTCTCAGAAATTTTGTAAGAATTGAGACTTTTGTGAAAAATTCTGATAAAATATATATTTCTTAGATATTTTCAGAAATAATTGGATGAGAATTTTCAGAATATTTCAGTATCCGTATACATGACAATTTAAAATCTGATAAATCGCACTTATTTTTTCATATTTATTCAAATTTCTACGAAGATATGTTGGCTGGAAAAATCTGAAATATTTTATTCTCATTTTGTTTGAGTTTTTCTGAAAAACATTCCGATTTGTATAAAAAATCTGAAAAATTTTGAACATCCTGAGAAAGTCTAAAAATTTGTATATATGTATAATGTACATTCTGAGACATTTTTTTCACGAGGGAAAGTTAAACCAAGACCGATATTCATAGTCAGATCTTATATTTAAGACCGTCTTAAGTACAATCTTAAGATGTTATGAACCAATCACAGAGCCGTATTAGCATCTTAAGACATTATAAGATCCGACTTATGAATACCGGCCCAAGATACCAAGATTACTTGCGTTGATAGAAACGGACAATAAAAAGTCTCATGCGGACGAGTCGATCGGCGCCAAAATGGCGCGGCGCGATGCGCGCGACCCGCTTCCGAACGTACTGTGGGCGAGACTCTATCGCTGTTCGATAAGCCGGGCGTGAACTGAACGCGCAGGAAACGTCAAACACGCAGCCGAGATGTCGAGGAACGACGGCAAGAAGGACACCTCGGCGTCCGCGTTCCGCAAGATCGACGTGGACCAGTACAGCGACAACAATTTCAAAGAGGAGGACGCGGACGGCGGTGTAGGTGCGCTCACCGGCCCGGACGAGAACGAGATCTTGACACTTCTTAGCCAATATCCTTTTGCAAAACTCTTGCTTTTCGTAGATCCTTTGCTTTTCAGTGATTTCGTCGTGCAATTTTCCTTAACACCATTTATCACGGGTAAGAACGCGGAGGCGTTAATATCGGTATTAAAGTCCGCACCGTTGGAGTGTAAGAACCAGCAAGTGAAGGTAACCTCAAAATGCATGATGGTGATTCACCTTTTGCCCTCGCTATCGCGAAGCGATTTGCGATTTCCTAAATGCGGAGTGACGTTATGGATCTGACGATTGTATGAATTAATTGTAGAAAGTAGTCGTTATTCTAAAGTAAGTGGGATTTAGGTTTTTGGATTAAGAATTTATCATTTCATCGAGGTCCATAATCAATGGAGCATGTTGTATCTTATTAATGAAAATTACTTCGCGATTTGCCAGTCTTTTATGTTTATCTTATGGGTTATATATTGTTCAAGGAATATTCTTGTAAATTCGAATATAGATGTCAGAGTTTTTACGTATGATTCATGGAAAAAGACTTTGCGCGTAGTTTGACTAGTCTAGTATGCTCCTAACGTCATTTTGCATAATAGATCTGTTCTTTTTAACTGAATTTCTTGCATGGTTTACCTTTCCTCTTTTTCTTTTCACGTTGGAGGGAAGAAAAGAAAAGATGAACTGTGCAAAAGTTCAGCTAAACAGAACAGACCTAGGGTCGCGTGTATTTTACTAAATATAAATTTCCATATGCGCAAATATATAAAATATGTCTTTCTATTCGCAGGACAGTGCTAGAAATTTAACACAGAAGGTGCTCCTAAGTATAAAGTCGAATCAAATGGACGATTGCTTAGCACAATTAGATCGTGACTTAGTGGATGTTCTAATGAAGTATATTTACCGAGGTTTCGAAATCCCGACAGAAGGTAGCAGTAGTCACTTGTTACTTTGGCATGAAAAGGTATTTAACGTAAGCGGTGTCGGCTGCATCGTCCGTGTATTCTCTGACAGCAAACGGGCTTGAAATTTTGTAAATTTCACAGTAACACGTTCATTATAATAATTACCATTAATTCTTACTGTTATTCATCGTCATTGTTAATGCGATGAGGATGTAGATAGGCAAGCCATTCGCAATTTTCCGTATGGGAAATACAACAAATTTGTGTACATTTGTTATCAATAAAGTAATTTTTATTTCTTGTACATTTGGAGGAGTAATTTTCCCTCGTCATATCTTTCACCTTTATTTCATTCCAAAGAGTATAAATAGATGGTTTATAGAAATTGTTTAAATGAAGAGCATCCCCGATAAAGTAAAATGCATTTTTTACTTTAAGCCTGAATACTATTTAAGTAATAATTAAGCCTGAATAATATAAAATTTCAATGTTACCTTCCAGATTGTATGTTTTACTAATATCTTATACTCTTTAGAGTTCTGAGAAGATAAAAGAAGATATATATATGTATATATATGTATATATACACACCACAGATTATTCTCATATAACAACAATAAGATTGTTTTCATATTTGAACATTTGTATATACTATTATTGACTATTATAATAAGAATTGACGATTAATATAACGTTTGAGTTGGCACAAAATAAAAGTATAAATATATAATTTGTGGAATAATATATACCCCAACATCTTTATTATTTTATATATCTATATATATCTATAACAAAAACTATAGTGCAACCGATTAACGGCAACATAATAATGTTAAATCCTCTATACCGGATATTTAGGTTCTATCATTGCTCGTATAATAGAATATATGTGTGATTAGGATGTTATACAGATTGTAATAATATTTATGGTTTATCTGACTCTCGTGATATTATCACATACAACACTGGAAATTCATTGTAAAATTATTTACTCACATTTGTCCTTTACTGTGAGCATAATCATATTTGTTTGATGTATCAGGTACAATGCGCTCACAAATACTGCGTTTGCTCTGCAACAAGTATATATTTCATTATATTGTGACAAATATAATATGAATATGTATTTTTAATTTCTAGTTGTGCGTTATTGGTTTCGTTTGCGATTGGATATTCTGATAATTTATGTACTTACTGTCCTTCCTTGAAGTACTCCTTTAATGTATTGCTGAACCTTTTACTATATTTCACAAATTCTCTCTTGCGTTGATCTAAGGCTTGTTTACCAGTTGAACCGGGTATAAATGCAGTAACTTCGTTCACAGCGTCTAATAGTTTCTTTATTGCACTCGCAATTTCTCTGAAAAAAAAGTAGACAGTTGATAGAGATGTGGAGCACCCTCTGTATACATATATAACATTGTAGATATGAATTTTTACAAACTTGATTGTCTCTAGAAAAGTCTTCCTGTCCGTGATCTCATCGGGAATTCTGCTAAGTATTCTTTTCAAGGAAGTCGATTTACGATTCAGTTCTTGAAATGCGTCTTCTGAACGCGCCGAACGATACTCCACAACTGCGAGCAAAGACAAAACGTGTATTGGCTTATCTTAAATTTTATAGTAAACAAAGTCAAATGCACAGTAGACTGTGCCGATGGTTGGCTTTAATATCAAACGCAAGATAATTTCTACAAAGATATCTTACCATCGTAATCAGAAGCAGCACCTTGCAATCGTAAGACACTCTCGTTCATATCAAGATTCAGCTCTGCCCTGCGTATTATGCCCATAATCAAGTCGTACGTAATCCCAGGATGCGAACTCTCTGCTTTTGAGAGAGCCGCGCGTAGGGTCTGCGCTGCCATGACATTTTGCCTCTCCAACTGCAAAAATTTAACTATTTATATCTGTTGCTGTCCGACATTTTTGACAAAAGGCCCTTCATTGAAAGATGCAAAGCCCAATGTATTGACAACGTGTAACTCGTTGTGTAATAACTCAAATTTCTTTTACGTCCATCCATTGTTCTATATTTAAAAGATGACTATTCACTATCAATAAGAGACGTAAAACGGATGGAAATATTATTTATGAAAACGACACGATTGGGTGTCCTGAAGGATGTATTCAGACGATACCTTGGTTAATATTGGCCTTAATATGACGGGAAGAACCAGTGATGTAACCGGGGTCTCATCGCCCATTGTCATCCTTCACCGTGTGTGTTGTCGTTCGAGACGCCGAGAATGAAAACTATTTCGGTCGCGGGTCGAGACGAAGCGCAAAGTCGAGGCTGCTTCGCGGGACGGTCGTGGCTGGTCGTGGCGATAGGGTTGTTTATGCGCGACTGGCACGAACACGGCGAACCAGCATTAACTCTTTCTCTATGACAGCTGTCACAATAGGCGCTAGACACGCGGAAACGAGGTTACCCGGCGCTGCCAACATTACGCCATTATGCGGACGAGCGGGACGAGTCGAAAGTTGTCGCGAAAGGCCTCGCGCCACGCGCCTCGCGCCTCGCGCCGTCATTGGTCACCGACCGCGGCAAATAGGCCTGCTCCTCAGTCCTCACAGCTCAACTTTATATACCACTCGTTCTTCTTTCTCTTTTCCTAATGTCTAAACGGCCGGTGTGTAACCGTTTCATTTTAACCGCGACTTGGATTATTGACTGATCGGCGATTAATTCAACCGTCAGAATTGCTCAAAGTAATATTTCTAACTATATAATTTCTTTTTCTACGTTTAAAACGAAAGATTATTAATTTTATTCATATTAACAAAAATGGTACACAGGTATATCGTTTGATAAGTTAATCGAAGTTTATTATAATTCATCGAAGTCACTTTTAATGCGAAAAATCTAGTACAATATATATGATGAGGAACAAATCTATTAATAGATTTGTTTTTCTCAACCCGTGAATGCCGCGAACGCTCGTCTCATTTCTCTCTCTCTCTCTCTCTCTCTCTCTCTCTGTCTGTCTTTCTTATATTTCTCCTCGAAATGCGAAACTTCACGCTTGTGCCATATATTCAGGGAAAAATGCACGCGAGAGATGCAGGTTATGATCCAAATGTTATTTCCGTATTGGTGAAATCTGTGACAGGTAACTCGCGTTCCCGTGCGAAAGGTCACTTGCACTCGTTCTGAATTAATCACGTTGGCGAGATCGCCGAGATCCTTTCGCGGCTGAGGCCGCGGAATATATAAATTTAGAAAGAGACTTTAGTTGATTAGCCGCACCGCTAATTATTTCAATGATGATTATTCTGATGCTTTTCTCTCTCTCTCTCTCTCTCTCTCTCTCTCTCTCTCTCTCTCTCTGTCTCTGGTATATCGGTGCTTTTCACACGATTTCTCTCTCGGACAATTGGCAACGAGATTCGTAATACGAATATAACTGCTGACGGAGAAAGAGAAGTTAACTCTTTCCGGCAGTTCTATTTTCCGAGTCTCAACAAAGGAAATGGATATGCAATGGTTTGTTATACTATAAAACCGTGAACTAGTATCACAATCGCGTAATTCAGTAATTCCAAAAATTCTGTAATCAGGCAAAGGTCGAATAGATTTTAAATGGAGATAAAAGAGATCAAAACTACTTTATAATATCATGTTTAACTTCGTATTTAATCGTGTTTCGATATTTGGCGATCGTGGGGGATAGACATAATAAATCGATGATTTAATTGCAGTTATAACCAAAATTGCCTTACAATCGCAGTAAAGCAACGATTGTATTATTTTTGGTTGGCATGTACCGCGGATGTTTCTCTTTGACGTTAATTCATACATTTATTCCTCTACGTCGCTTATACATATACGCAATACGTAAAAATAATCTCGACATTATATTTGAGGTTCAAAATGCGAAAAGTATAAACGGTTTGCGTATACATCTTCTCTCCTCTTTCCCTTCCTCTTGTGTCCCGATTACGCCCGGTTCTCTGCCATCTTCTTGCTAAAACAAACAGAAATTTATTTTAGAAAAATAGCGTTTTTAACTGGGCCGACCGTGCTCGCGACGGTTGCTCCTGGCGAGTGAAGTTGGCCGCGCGATTTACGAAATATTTTCTCCGCCATAGCGTCTACCTGCGGGACGTCACGGGCAATCGGGCATCGAGCGGATCGTATATAGCCTCGTTCGCTACGCTTCTTTGCCGTAATTCTTTTGTTGCTATGTAATAAAGTACGCGCTGCGTCGCTAACGGAGGGTGTGTTGTACAAAGTGTCGCGCGATCATAAACGATAGTTTTTTCGCGCGTGACTGTCGTGAGCGAGTGCGCCGATGATGGAGATACGACAAAACGGAGGAGAATTGAGAAGAGGAGGAGGGAGCCTTGGGAGGCATTGGGCGACGGCGGAGCAACCGTGGGGTGAGTAATTGTTATTCGTTTACTATTTTGCTGTCCCGTGGCGGATTCCGCTATTTTCTCAAGCGCGACTCTCCAGATAGCACTAAACATTTCTATGAACGTTCTATGAAAAATCTTCAAGAATATTTCGAATACTTTATAAGTCGATCTTATATATTTACAGTATATCTTTATAATATATTCAAATGGCACTACTTCAAATGTTTTTTTAATATAAGTAGAATAATCTATCGAATATTCTATATAATATTGTATACATATTTATAGAATATTCTATAAGCATTTTAATAAAATGTTTTATAAATGTGCATAGCATATTTCACAGAATGTTTTATATAGATTATTCTATATATTTATATAGCACATAAAATAAATAGGGGTAAACAGTACAGTTGCTGGCCACTCTACAATGATTGGCCACATCTTAAAAAATTAAGGATTATAAAAGAAATACTATTAAAATATTTTTTATTATAAATACAAAATATTTAATACACTTTTAAACATTTTAATAGTATTTCTTTATAATCTTTAATTTTTTAAGATATGGTCAATCATTGTAGAATGGCCAACAACTGTATTGATTACCCCTATTTTATGACCATATCAGTTTTTATTTTCCAAAACAGCTAAATTAATTTCACCTTTTTTACAAGAAAAACAAAAAATTAGTTAGAAAATAATACAACATGAGAATGTTAGTGTTAATTTCATCTATTACTTAACTGATATTATCGGTTTCTTAATTTTAACACATATACATTATCAATTTCTATTGTATTTTATCTAATTTTCGTCTTCCTTATAAAAAAGATGAATTTAACTGCTTTTGAAAATGGACAACTCCATGTTTTTTTAGAACAACTGTGATTATTGGAATATGTAGATATATTAAAGAACTGGTTTATATATGTAATTAATAAATACACAAATTTAACTAATTTAGTTTATTTATTTTTTATTTTAATTTTTTTGCATTTAGGCATTCTTATTTACAATACTATTTATAATTTATATACAAAATACTATTTTAATGCAATATAAGGCTAGTGCCATATAATTTGAAATCGAAAAAAGAAATTCAAGTAAGTTAAATTTAAAGTAAAACAGAAAGTATTTTTTCAAACTGCAGAAGAATAATTATAGGATTTTCCCTGGCAATTACATGTGTACATAACAATGAAAGAATAAGAAATGAAACTAGTAAGAAAGTTTTTGATTTGTACTTGCTCTATATAATATATATGCTTTGTATCTCAATCTCCGTGTACTCTGTGCGCAGGAAATATCACAAAATATAATTATCTGCATATGCAGACATTAATAAGGCTTACCTTATTTAACGCTGCAATATAAAGACTTCCGACAAAGAGAATTTAGCATAAGAATAAGAATAAGAATAAGAAAAGAAATATAAGTTGTTTATAAGATGTTGGTTTAAAGCGGAGAGGTTATCTGGTATAACACCATCAGAAACCTCGGCGACGACGTCAGGAATATTAAGGAAGGGCGGACAAACAGAATTTGCACTTGGTGGTGACAATAACTTATTTTTGACGAACACGTGTGTTCGAGATAAGCGATATGTATTTCGACGACACTCTTTTTAAAAACTAACTGCTCGACTATAAACGCGAGAAAGTAACCCAACTAAAGTCCAGTAATACACTAAAAATACCCGACGGAATAGACCGCCGCATTAAATGGAACGCGATACGAACATGTGACGCCCTTGAGGCATAGACATCGACTTCTGCGACTTTCTTCAAGCATATATAACTTTAAATTTTCTAAAGAGTTTTATCCTAATGAACTGTTAAGGATGTGAAAAATATTACCAAAAATATATAAAAAAATATTCTTAAACCTTATTTAATGTTTCATAGAACAGAATTAATAAAGGAAAAAAGATAATTATCTTTGATTAAGGGCCGATATCACAGTCTCCGATTAACGTGATCCTCCCTCCGACTAAACTCACTCTTCGTCTCTTTCTAGGAAAACAGTTTAGAAAGAGATGCAGAGTGAGTTTAATCGGAGGATCACGTTAATCGGAGACTTTGATATCGGCCCAAAAACGATGTTTTATTATGCACCGTATGTTACCAGCACGGCAAAAATGCACGGCGAAGCATGACGACGAACGACAAAGAGTGGCGCTCACTACGAATATGGCAACCTAACTTAAAATGTGCAATAAATAAACTCAACGAACATTCTAAAAATGTTCTTCTTTATTATAAATATATACGATTTTTTTATTGTAACATTTTACGTATATTCATATATTACAATATTCCAAAATTAAGAACATTCACACTTTGTAAGAATATTCATATAGAATATTGTATGCTATCTGGGTTATTGGCCCATTGATTATTATACATTGTTCGAGGTTTATTGTCATTTATCGAACTCCGACGCAATTTCGTAATTTCGGAGTTCGATCTCCTACATACGCGAGAAAAGATATTACACGTTGCGAACGTCGCGTCTTTCTTATTCGCAATATTACTTACATCGTAATATTATTTTAATTAATTATGCGAACGAATTAATGCGGAAATATGCGGTGGCTTGCGGTACATGGCCGCGATTGTTTCTTGCATTAGCGTTTAGAAGTCAGATATATATCTGTTAAAATAACATTTTAAAAATTTAACGGGCGCGATAATTATTTATTTCAAATATTGATTATCTTGGATTTTGCTTTAAAAAAATTTATATGTTACAGATCAACGCAGGGTTACAACTTTGCGCTGTTGCGCATCAGCCGGTGAGTTATTTTTTTATTTCATTAGCGAGGCAATGGTCGAGGCAATCGATTTGTAAAAATTATATTACAAGTGTAAATAAAATATATGTATGAAAAATGAGATATTATAAAAGAATCACGAACAAGTATTTTTTTCTAACAATTATTAGATATTATACGACATTATATCAAAATTTTTATTTAAAATGATAATTAATGTAGCGGTAAAGTGTTTTGTATTCTGTATTACTTAATCTCATATCTGAATATATTATTTATTCCTACAGAAAAAATTAAAACATTGAACATTAAGAATATAAAAATATATTACAAATGAATTAATATATTGTAATATATTATGATCTATTGCCTTGAAATGTGTGGGTAGGCTCGGAAATGGATAAATTAGACCCTAGAAAATATTTTTGTAATTTATAATCCTTTACCACCACCGATTTTTTATTTATTTATATTTTACACATGGTTACGCGCGCTCAGCGACAGTGATACCTAAATAGGGCCACAGCCTTATTCAGGTATCACTTGCCCATGCATCGATGCAATCGCGTGAGTTTTGTCGCAACTTCGTCGAGTTTCGCGGCACGAGAACGTCCAACGCGTGCGGAGTCCCTCGAGACGAGTTGTCGCGAGAGCGTAGAAAACTGGAGAGTCGAAAGTTCAGTGCGAAAAACTGTGTTTTACGCGTTTCGGGATATTTGCGTTGCGACGATTTCGAACGAGGAAGGAGAGAGAGGTTCTCGTGGACACCGGACGCAGAATCTACGACGGAAGACCGAGGATCCGGTAGCCCCTATCGAATATCGGCACGACTCTGGATGCCGGAAATCCTGTTCGCTTGCAGCAAGCGAGGGAAGGTATAGGTGCTAAATATTAATGGCCAATATTCTTCATTCTTGGAGGAAGGATTGCGCTGTAAATAAAATGCAGCAATACAATGCATCTCTGATAATAAATTTTTGCAATATTCGATAAACAAAAGTACAATTTTAAGGCTAAATAAAATTGTTTTGCATATGCAATATAATAATAATTTCGACGTGATGCTAATTTCTAAATATATGTTTACACATACCGGTAAAAGAATTTTTTGGTCACGAAATCATAGTTAGGGTCTCCGCAAAATTAATTAATTATTTAATTAAAAATGCGTAAGGAATTAGATTTTCAATAATATTGAAGAAGAATTTCCTTTTTTACCGCATGATGATAGACTTAAGTAACGCAATCGCCTTTTACGTGAGGAAAGAAATTTTATTGGTAACGTAGGGACGTCCAAAAATATATAAACAGCGTGTATAAAAGTATAAAAAATAAATATCAACAGCGCACGCGCGCGCCGTCATTTCGTGAGTCTTATGGATAACGACGAGTCGGGGTCGCGACGCACTCTCGAACACGCGATCGGGAATGCCTCGTGAGCGCAGTCAAGAGTATATAGCTACGATAGTAACAGTAAGAATAATTTTAACAGTAGCGACAGGGAAAACAGGCGAATCGTTCACTTTGAAAAAGATAACACACGCTGAGACCGCTTTTATGATCTATTTATATCATCTATTCAGCTGTTGTTACGTGAATCACAGTATTTATAAACTTCTTGCTTTTCTGACGTTACAACCTTCTGACGTTATTAAAAAAACGCGAAATGTAGGAAAGGTTATTTCCTTGGATTTTATTATCGCAGATCGCAAATAGAGATTGTACATTATTGCGAGATATTACTTCGATTTTTGGGACAGGACGCAGCATTCCCTCTTCAAAAGTGGTCGGGTTCAATCGCTAATAGTATAATCCGTGATTGTTATTTCAATAATTATAATTGACGCTGCATTAAAGTTATATTGATTTGCTATTAATTAATTGATTACATTACAGCATTCTAACACACATGCCTCTCTCTCACACATACCTATATCTACTAACTATATCTTGCGAGAGTTCGAAAGACTAAACTGTAAGAGTATCTGCAGCAGATATTGCACATTTTAGAATTTAACTTTTATCCTCCGATAATAATTAGGCCTCATTCTATTTCAACGAATGCAAAGTGTGCAGGAAAAAAAGAAGTGTCAAATCAACACTAATATACTTATATATACGCAAGAATATATAATCTTCTTATAAAAATTTTAATTTCTTATTTTCACTTTTTTTCTCAATTAAACTATATAAAATTTCGTTTAATTATATAAATAATTTCATTCAAGCAAGTTTTCTTCGTTTAACGCAATATAATCTCATTTCGAGATTATATATATTGTTGCGTATATACAAGTATATCAGTGTTGATTTGACACTTCTTTTTTTGTATGTGATATAAACGGTTCGATTTTTATATATATGTTACTGCAGTTTTATATTTAATTATGATTTTATATACGCAAAACTCTACAACAGTCGCTCTCTATAGATTCTGTGAAAAGTCCTCTCTTGATTTTTTGCTTTTTTTTTATTTTTATTATAAGCATAATGAAATATCATCTTGTCTCCGGCGTCAGGTCGAGATTTCGTTACACGTTCAGTCGCGTTTATTTCGGTGTATCTGCGTAAACGACGCGCGATCAATTTGACTTGAATATCTTCCAGTCCGGAGGGTTACATGGCACACATTCGATCGGGTTTCGCCGAGGATTCGTTATAACGAAATCATTCGCCGATATTCGCCGACGTTTCCGCGTGTTTACAGAATCTGATTTTGCGTCAAGAGCGTATTCTCCGACGGTGAGGAGTCTCTGCGTGCGGAAACTCCGTCGTGAATGCGACGTTAATTAACGTATAATTGATCGCCGGCGGTTCGCTGCTCACGCGAGGAGCTACGATGTCCTCCTTCGTCCTTATCGCTTAGCCGCACTCGCGCACAGCTCTGTTCCGCGGCAAACACTCGCTCTCGCTCTTATCATTTTAAATTATTTTCGCGGCCTCGTTTGCGGGGAGACACTTTTCATGGCAGTCGATTTGTAATCTATACTAATCGTCCCTAATTGACGGAGTCGATAGGCGATTGGGGCCAATCGCATGTGACGATATCACGTGTAAAGTTTTCTTAATTCGTATATAATGCTACATCTCGCATGAATACGCCAACGATAGTCGACGAATCGATGACGATATCATCGCGATTGTGGCGAGAAATAATACGGAAATTTCTCAAAGTCGTCGTGTACGTGTGTTGTGTGTGTGTGTGTGTGTGCGTGTAGGTCCACTGACATTTGTTTTTAAAGACGCAGTTATTTTTAAAGTATATATAAAAAAAGAAACGTCGATAATATTTAAAAATCTGAATTTAAAAACTAAACCGTGGTTATTCCGTCTCGGAATGGCAGTGACTGACTGAATCGTTTTTATTCCATTTATACATATGTATATATGTATATCCTGAAATGTTGTGTGTTCTACCGTTAATTTGCCTATCAAACTACATCTCTTAACACCGTGCATGCGAGACGATCAACATTCTCGCAAACGCATTGACGATTACATTTTCACCGCACGATTCGATTCGCCACTTTCCGCAGGCCGACTAAATTAATTATCGCTCTGCAATTATGTAACATATTCTGAAGTTCATATTATTCATCAGCTCAAGGAATTCAAGAAACGTGTCTTTTCTCGTAAGACCCGTTCCATCTTCTTTTCGTTAACTTTTTATAACTTGTCTGTGGAGAATGTTCGAGTCTTCGAATTTGATCATATACCTAAATATATCATCTATAAGTGTCACATCTCAATTTATTACTCCTCCAATAAAGTCTTCCGCACAAGTATAATTGACTAAGATCTTTTTAATATCGTTAGTCGTCGTTCTTTCCTCTCGTTGATTCCAGGAAACTGTTGTAATAATTTTTCCAAAATCTGGAATCTCATGTGAGAATGCGAAAAATTGATTGAATTTCCCGGAATAACAAAATTAAATTCTACCTAGAATTATATTGAAGCGCCGATCGAAGTAATCTTCTCTATAGTCGTAATCTTTCTTGAGATCAACGAGTAGGATGACGATTTCTCGTACAATTCCTTCTCAGAATTCCTTCCAAGAAAAACATCAGAATTTCAACAGAAATACGGGAAATTTATTTGATTCGGAATGACATCAATGCCTTGATGAATGCTGTCAACAGCATCAAAAGTGAGTTAATTTTTCAGCTACAACAAAAACACACACGTAGTCACTTCTGTCACTATACTCGAACAATTGCAATGACGGTGTTCAGCTGCGCTTCTCTCGATCTCTCGAGCAGTCCTCTTCAACGTCGAACTTATCGACGATTTTGATGAAGGGATCGCGACACTGCTTCTCCGCGATCGACCATCGACTGTCATTAGTGTTGAATCGGGCACTGTGATCCTCGCCAAGAGGACAAGCCTTTTCAAGGTCTTCTACGCTGGCGCCTGCACCACCTGTGGCCTGTGGATCGGCACCGAGATCACGTAGATGTCCAACTTCTCGCCGGACGTCTTGTCGACGATCTCGCCGTAGTTGACGGAATCGTAAGAAGGCGGAGCGAACAAGTGATAAGGCGGCGGCGGGGTCTCTGTAATTCCGGTTGTGTTTATTGCATCGGCACGTTGTGCGTAGGGCACCGTCATAGGTCGACTGCCTCGTCGGCAACACCATTCGGAGCAGCTGACGATGAGGAAGAATGCCACCAAGCCGCCGAACGAGCCGATGTACCAGACTATCGACCACGGATCCAACGGGTTCTGCAGGTCGCTGCCGTTGACTACAACAAAATGGGGACCTGTGAGCGAGGAGCTCGTTAATAATCAGAAATGTCTTGATTTCGCGAACTACGCTCATGCGATGAAATCACGGGGATGCAAGAATGGCATTCATGTAATGCCACAACAGAATGGTGTACTCATGTAGAAATTATAAAAAAATTAAGAAATGTATACTCTCTACGTTTGTATGTGTGAATGGTGTATCATTTCGAATATTGGAGGATTTAAGGATTATTGAGAAGTTTCGTGAATCGGAAATTTTGCAACGGAAATGAATTACGAGATATTTTTGACATATTGTTTCCGCGAAATCAAAGCGGTAATAAGAAATATCCTGAGTTGTGAAAAGTGTTAAGAGTCGTTTTCACTTGCGATCCACATTACTCTTTTGTTGTCTGCCATAGAAATGTGAGTCGAATCTAAAATTAGCTCGACGCTTCGCTGCTAAAGTATTAAGGAAATACCAAGAGCATCATTATCTATTTTTCAAAACATATTAGATTTGCAAATATTGTTTGTCACCATACGCAGCGTGTTTCGTTATTCTATCGAAGAAACTGGTAGGTGGTAATAATAAAAAAATTGATTTCAAATTAACTTGACACTTTGCCGTTAAAGTATTAATGGAATGTCAAGAACATTTATTATTTATTTTGCAAATTTACATATTAGATTTGAAAATACTGTTTGTCATAGCGTAGCGTGTTTTTGTTACTCTATATGCATCGAAGAAACTAGCAGGTGGTAATATAAAAAACTGATTTCATATTCGCGCGATAGGATCAGATGCATATTTTGCACTCTTGGCTCTCTCGCGATATTATTGTCGCGTGGAAAGTTTCAAAAATTACACTCTTTTTCTCCCGATCAATGACGTGTACGCGCGGAACCGACATTCTCGATCGCTATATTAACGCGTGGTGTGTACAATGCGAACTCAGAAAGACGATGCAAATGAAGATGGAACTACTACAGATTTGCATAAATCCTTGGCGCGTGCGGCGAGAATTGTTGTCTGCAGGTGTGATTTTAACAGGATGCGCGCGAACTTGAGAGCTCATGTTTCGAATCTCGTTTCGTATCACTTTATTCAGCTAACGATAAGCGCGATAAGATTCTTTATATAATACTGCTAATAATGTAGCTAGATATTTCAAAAATTACATCACACACACATTTTCGGTTATTCTTTACATCTTTTATTACATTATGTCAGTTTCTACTATTGAAAGTTCTATTCTACTGGCATTTTATGGTTCTGATAAACAAAGTCATATCTCTCGAGATCGTTCGTACCGAGGTTCGTACGGAGAATTAGATTAGCGCCGAGTTATAAAACAAAATATTACGTTGTGCCTCACAACAGATAAATTTGAATTTGACAATTTGTCACAGGAAAATATTACCGAGGTCAAGAATGTAGCGCGATAATGATGGAGCAAAGTAACATTTCGTAGTGATAATTTTCGTCATCACCGATGTACGTAAATATTCAACGAAACGCTGAAGGTCACTTGATTAATGAATAATTATGCTATTTTAGTGATTTTTGACCTTCAAACTTGATATTAATGTAAAACGAATGACAGAAACGAATGTAAACAGAACGAATGTAAAGTGAATATATCGTTACGTTTTTCTGTGCATTTGGCATCGAAATATGTACCGAAATATTATATTCAAAGGAGAGACGCACGAAAACGTGATCTCGAATTGCAACAGGAAACACGCGATGATCCATGATGACACGAGGATGGTGCGCGATGCTATTGCTATGAAGTCACTCTCGTGTACTAGTAAACATGATTCATGTTCTTACCGCTCTCTTCCGTGTCTCTTTCTTTCTCCGCGCTCTCCTCCTTCCCCTCGAATGCAATCACGTAGACCGTCCCGCCGCCGTCGACGTCGTCGTCGTTGTCGTTGGATTTCGAGTCGACCGATTGACGATTGTCGTTTGCGCCCTGAGTCGCTTTATTGCTCTCCATTCGTCTCTCAGCACCGATGCTGTAACTCGACACCGAGTGAGCTACGACAAATTGCGATTACTTAATTAATTGCACTTAACTCTATGCGCGTGAAAATGCATACATGTTATTCTCTCTGAGATCGTTTGCGCTTATCTCACCTTTTTATTACAAATATACTTATAAACGTAATAAATCTAGTATTTAGTTATATGTATAACTACATCACTATTTTCGATATTTAATAATTAATTATTCTAAACGTCGAATCTAATTGAAATATGATTATTACAATCCGATATTAAAACAGTAATATTTTATTTAAGTTACGTATCTGTTAATAATCTCTCTTTTTTTCTATTTCTTTCTCTCTTGGTTTGTTTTTCTTCGTTCTAAAAGAATTTTCGAGTGTCGAAATGCAGTATTTGTCGTTATTTGCTGATGTGGCCTGGCACATCATATTCTCGAAGATGCAACTGCAATCTTGCGACATATATCGTGCAAAATCTCGAGGCTAAACGTGTTAACACCGAATAAACAACTCCGCCTGTCGCTCGTTAACCTGTATTGAGGTACTTCACGTGCCGTTTGTTGCAATAGGCGTGAAGTCGATGCACATTGCACGTCGAATGGTCGAAGACGACGCCGTCGCCGCAGCCGGCGCCAGTCTTGCTCCGTCTTGTTAGCGAATGCGTATTTTTATCGGATACGAATAATAGTGGGAGAACTGACTCGCGCAAACAGATATACGTAATAATTAATAACAGGTCACCGATGCCGCTGCCTACATTGTTTGAAAAGTTGCCTCAGAGACCTTAGAGTAACGAACATTTATACGTTAGCGATTTTGTAGACAAGAACTTCTCATAGCTGCTGCTTCCTTAAATGTCAGAAACGCGTATATACAGTCCGATGATCGAACGAATTCGATTGACATAATAAAGTTCTTCAATCTCCAAGCAATCTTCCAAATGGTCCCTCCTCTTAAGTAACGAGATTAGTACGTACGGCTAGCATGTTCGAAAGCTATTTCTACCTATCGCTGTATAAATAATTAATTTCGCTCGGCAACTTAAATCCGTTCTTGAGATGTTAGTCATGTTAGTATTAACTATCGTGAGGTAGTTTCAATTATGAACAGCTCGGAAGAGGTTTCGCGAGTTCATAATCGATGATTATGCATTACAAAGTTTTATCTTACTTGTATTATACAATAATAGCACCTACTTTGATATATAAGAAGGTAATTGTGAATAAAAAGACGGTTAATAAATAATTAATATCTAGTTATTTATTAACCATCTTTTTATTAATATTATATTTAATATTATAATTAATATTTTTGATAATATTATATTTTTATTAATTTTATTAATATTATAATTAATAATTTTGGTTTTTGGTAACTTGATTTATGTTTACATCGATGGTCAAATATTTCTGTTGCCGTTATTCCTTTAATAAATAAATAAATAAAACAATTCCCCTCGTTTTTCTATTGAATTGTACATATGACGAACATTTTATCGCCGCTCTGTGCTATTTTTAGCTTATTGTTAGGCGTTGCAAAGTGGTGAAGCGTAAAATCGATCGAAGCTCGGGTCTTCCTTTTCAAAGAGAAAGAGGGAGAGAGAGAGAGAGAGAGAGAAAGAAAGAATGCCGATATTGTTACTACAATTTCTTAAAGTGAGGCGTGGCTGATGTCTATCAGTTCTTCCAGAATCTCACGTCTCTACCCTGACACGATTATCCACTACTTAGCAACATCGTTGCCCGACCAGATTTCGCTTCGGTTTTATGGACAAAGTTACTTACGTGTAAGAACGTGTAACGAACCACGCTTAACGTTGCTCTCGCGTTAAGTGCAAATCCAATCTAATATGCTAATTTACTATAATTTTCTAATAGGCTATGAATACATTTTAGCAGATTGGAACATGTGTTAATTTCATTGTACAGACATTTAAACTTCATTAAAAAGCCAATATATCGGGTTTATTAAATATTCAGGATGAAAAATACCATTCCAATAAATAATTTGTAATTTAAAATTTAAATATTTCTTTTTATAAATAAGATACTGGATATAGAGATAGCGCATTAAATAAGAATTTTATGAGGGCAGGTTGATTGCTTCTCAGGTAAATATCATTTTTACGTTTATATAAAAAATTTGACATATTTTCAAAGACACACAAAAGAGATGCTCGATTTACGATACTGGCGGAAATGATTCTCTGACATTATTTTCCGTCTGTTGATCCGTATAAGTCGTTATTGAAGGTCGCTCATATAATTAAAGAAGTCACGAGAGAAAAAGGGGGAGGGGGAGAGAGGGGGAGAGAGAGAGAGAGAGAGAGAGAGAGAGAGAGAGAGAGAGAGAAGGACGCATCATGACATTGTATATGCACATTGTACACGTGTTTATGAGCGATATTCATTATTTCTCATTACTTGTCAGAATCCGAGTTGCGAAGCCTACGTTTCGTAGATCACGTACGCTTTTCCGTTAAAGAGAAACAATTACGAAATTTCAACCGGTAGAGACACAAGGGGCAATTTAAGTCGTGACAAATGAAAATCTCGCGATTTTTATAGGACGCGTGCGGTTGACGTAACCGCTAGTAATAAAACAGCTAAACATGTGAGAGATCTCGAATACTCTGTCTCTGCTCGCGATTTTCAATCGTCGAGACGTCGCAAGCGCATTATAGTCCATACGCCAGGTCGATTGAGCATTTTTATCGAGGTTGATGGCTTAAGTTAATGTTTTTTTATGTTTTTTGGGTCGCAGAACAAGAATTTGTAAATAGTTTTTTCGTAAGTCGATGCAATAAAAAGTTATTAACAATTTATTTGTTTAAATTGCCCTAGCAATCAAACTATACATCCTATAAAAAAATAAACTCGAGAAAATTTGTTCCTCTTTTCACGACGAACAAAATGGCGTTTGAATTTTTCTAAAATCTTGATTATTGACGGAAATATGTCAATTTTTAGGTAATTACTGCTTATGCGTCGCGGAGTACCCTAGGCGTGCGCGCTCGCGCTCAATTGTACCACAAGACAAATTTAGACAAGTTCGGAGTTTCAATTGTTTTAACGATACAATTGAGCGCGAGCGCGCACGCCTAGGGTAGTACTTCGCGACGCGTAGGCAGTAATTACCTAAAAATTGACATATTTCCGTCAATAATCAAGATTTTGGAAAAATTCAAACGCCATTTTGTTCGTCGTGAAAAGAGGAACAAATTTTCTCCAGTTTATTTTTTTTATAGGATGTATAGTTTGATCGCTAGGGCAATTAAACAAATAAATTGTTAATAACTTTTTATTGCATTGACTTACGAAAAAACTATTTACAGATTCTTGTTCTACGACCCAAAAAACATAAAAAAAACGTTAAATTAAGCCATCAACCTCGATAGAAATGCTCAATCGACCTAGCGTATGAATACTACATAATGGCAAACGGTATCATTAGCGTCGTTACGATATTATGCGATGGGCGTCGTGTTTACGTAACGGCTCTCTCTCTCTCTCTCTCTCTCTCTCTCTCTCTCTCTCTCTCTCTCTCTCATTCTCTTTCTTATTGTTATTGTTAGTCGTAATCGCGCGAGACACGTTCCAAGCGATCAATGTTTAAATGTTCAAACACAGAGTAGTCGGCTACGCTCAAAATGTAAATCTTTCGCCTATGCATGACCAATGACCGATGAAGCTCGCAAGGTTACGCGTTCCGTATATTTACGACGTGAAGTTATATTTTGAGCACACGTTCACTTTGATCGCATCACGTGCTGGAACTCGATCTCTGTCTGTCGATACTTGATGGCGTCGTCGATCGTCTTTGTCTGCTAGAACGATAATTATATGATTCTTATCTGCTAATTTGTGGTGTATAGATACGAAATACAGTGCGTCCCGAGAAAGAGACGCAATCGAAATGAGACACTGCGACATTGTTACTTATATCTGACAAAGTGCTTAAAGCTCGTTAACTCCACTCTGTATGCTTCTTGTTTTATTCTTGACATGTATACTCTAAATGGGGTTCAAGACCGGTTTCGCACTTATTTGTGTTTATCCTTGAAGATAATATCCGTCACTATAAATGTGTATAGAAGATTTTATTTTTGGTACGATATGCTGGATTTTATTTCATACACATGAAATAGAGAGAAAGTAAATAATCACTATAAATGTATGTGTGTGTCACACGTTGATACTGCCGCGACATATTTATTGCATTATTGTTAAAAGCATCGTATATATACCTATAGGACACTTCACGTCGTTTCGCACTGACTAAACTCCTCGCACAAACTTTTGAACTTCGTAACGGAAGTCTGCTTAAAGTCTTCGCGTTCAAGCATCTCCTCGTGAAAACGACTCCTTCTGTCGCGCGGATGTTTGTAAAGTTTCACCTGACGCAAGTATAACCGTAGTACATCGTGGTTACGGAGACATCGGGTTGATCGAAATATTTGCGAAACTCCCGGCAGCAACGAAATCGAGATAAATCGCCGACGGTAGAGCGACGAGTAATATTTCATGATATCTTCCGGATAAGTCTCGTGAAGATTACAGGAATAAAGCACGATAAGAAAAAAGAATGTTTTACATTGCAGTTTCATTAACATATTAACCGTAAATTACATCTTGCGGTAGCCCAGAAATTAAATTTGTTTTACGACATTCTTATATCTTCGATCAATTTTTTTCTTTCTTTTTTAAGATCAGGTTAATTATAAGCTGTTTTCCGCAATATTTGAATTAAATTTTTTGAGATTATTTTTTTCTTTTCTTTTAATTCTTTTTTTCGTTGTAAAATCGGTCTTTTGATTAAAAGGTTTAGAAGGTACGAAGGCGATAAATATTATAAGACTCGCAGCGGTTGGGTATCATATCTTTTTTTTTTCATCTCTCATAAAATATATGTATATGTATATCGCGTGTGATGAAATATTCCTTATGCTATGTGCGTGCGTTATCGTAACGTGGAAAGATACATGCGTGTAAACAGCTTACGCGGGGTTTGATATGATATATTTTAATGATC